TTGAAAGAGTGTAGATGGAGAAGTAAGCAAAAAGCCAGGAGAGAGCTAATGTCATAGTGCCAAAGGAGAAAGAGGAGGGCTTCAAGGAAAGGATTGGTCAACGTTGTTAAATAGTTCAGAGGGGTCACATGAAACAAAGACTACGTTGTGTTAATGCGTTGGGTTTGACAGCATGAGAGCATATGTGACGTTAATAAAAGCAACTGACAGAAAAATACCTGCTCACAAAGTTGAGTAACAGATCTCTAGGGGAAGGTACATAACTTATTTCTTTCTTCTCTTCACAGAATCCAAAAGATGTGTTGACCAGGTACAAACTCTTGCCTTCTTATGGGGGCTTGAGTAGAATGGTAAAGATACAGGCCAAGCAGAGGGGAAATGAGGCCTGGGCTCCATAGATCAGTGTGGACATTGACGTGAGGGGGTTGTCGGGGAGGAGTTCCACTGTTCACTTTTGCCAGGAGGAATGGGAGAGAAGTAGTCTGAGCTCTGGGATCCCTTCAGTTGGGAGTTGGGGGTCTTGGGTGTCCTAGTTGTCTCCTAAGCAGAGCAGCCTTCTGCACTTCTCTTAGGTGCGAGAACCAGGATGTGAACTATTCCTTTGAAGTTCTAAAGGTGAAGACTGTGTGCCGGCTACCAATGATGAAGGAAATGCTGAAGCGATTTCAAGGTGAGCAGAATTTCTGGGAGTTGGAGCTCAGAGAATGAATGAGAGAAGTCTGGAAAGGAAAGAGAAAACAGAGCATGCAGCTGACAGGAGGGTCAGGAAAATGGTAATAAGTACTTAGGAATAAATGGATATATGCTTCATTCAAGAAACATCCATTTAACACATACTGTGTGTTATAAGGTACTAGTGATAAAGACCTATTTGCTTACAAATTGGAGAGACAGACACATATCACTTTACTGTAATACAGTGGGATCCAGTGTTTATCAGTGGTATGAATAAAATACTGCAAAACTACAGAGGAAGACCTCTGTTGGGGGTGAAGTGGGAAAGTTTTCACAGCAGAGGTGATGACAGTTGTTTGGGAATTTGAAGGATGAGTAGCGGTTTGCCAAGTGGAAAATGAGGGACTCCTCTTCCAGGCAGAGGTGGCAGCATGAGCTAAGGTGTGGAGAAAGTGGAGGAGAGGGCATCTGATGTGACTCAACCATAAGGTGCGTATGAGGAAAGGCAGGAACTGAGTTTGAGAAGATGAGTGTAGGAAAGACTGAAGATAAACTTATTAGATCTCCAGGGAAGTACCAAGGCATGTACGTGATGTAAAGGTATGCACTCAATTCTCATGTGCATGTACCTGATTAAGAATCATGTTGTGGATGTCTACTTCCAGCTAAAATGCAGTAAGAGGGACTGGATTTACTCCTCAAACTTAGTTGACCAAAAAAAAAAAAAAACCCCAAAACAGACAATACATAAAGCAACAGTTTTTAAAACACTGGACCTCAGGCAGTGAAGGACAGCGATCCATGGGAAATGTGAAACAAATGTGAAACAAATGCGCTCTATGATGGCCCCCAGCCTACAGCCTTGAGAGAGTTTCCAGGCCACCTCAGGGAGGGTAACAGAGGTGGAGCCAGGTGGACTTCCTGAGTTGAGGAGTGGAGCTGAGAGTCCAGGGAGAACAAAGCAGTGAGCGTTTACAGAGCACTGGACAGAGTGCTGGAGAGGAGAGAGCTGGACAGAGAGAGAACCCAGGTGATCTACAGAGACACGCCGTGAACATTCAGCAGAATGCCGATCAGTACATGCTTGTGAAGAACTAACCAAGTTTGAGGAAAGGAAATTTCCAAAATGAGTAGAAGAAACAGTTCCTGGTGCTCATACAGGGCCAGGAACAATGCCTGTTCCTACCAGCCTCTGGAAAACTCTTAATTCATGGAGCACTGGGTAGAGTACTCAGGAAAATCTTGCCTCGTTAGTGGGGAATAATTAACCCTACACTGAGCACTGCTTTGGACCCACTTTACAAATCATGAAATAAGACCCAAAAGGATGAAATTATTTCCAAGTAACTGCATCCCAGGACAAAGCTCAACAAGATGGATAGGAATTAAAAAAAATGAGTACCCAACAATGTAAAACTACAATGCCTGGCATCCAATCAAAGATTACTAGGCAGGCAAAAAGATAGGAAAACATGACCCATGATGAGGAGAATAATCAATTGAAACTGATCCAGGATTTACCTGGACGCTAGAATAAGCATAGAAGAACATTAATACAGTTATTGTAGCTATTTTGTAAAGAGGCATATGGGGACATGGAAGATATAAAAAAATCCCAGACAGACTTCTAGAGATGAAAACTACTGTAACTGAGATGAAGAACAAGCTGGTTGGGGTTAATGGGTCATTGCAGAAGAAAAGCTTAGTGAGCTTGAAAAGACAGAGCAGTGGAAACTATGCGAAATGAAACACACAGAGAAAAAAACTTTAAAAATGAAAATAGCATCAGTGAGCTGTGGGTCATTTTCATGCAGCCTTGTGTCTGGTCATTGGTACCCCTCAGGGAGAGGAGTGGGATGGGGATGAGACAGAAAAACATTTGAAGAAATAATGACCGACAACTTCCCGAAGTTGATGAAAACTATAAGTAATACAGATCCAAGAAACTCAGCAAATCCTAAGCATGATGAAAACTACACCAAAACCAGTGATAAAGAGAAAATTTTAAATGCAACAAGTTGAAAAGGACATGTTGCAGTGGAACAAAGATAAAGATGACATCACATTACTCATTGAAAGCAATGCAAGTGAACAAAATCTTTAAAGGAATGAAAGAAAATAACTGTTAACCCAGACTTTTATTCCTGGCAAAAATACCCTTCAAAAACAAGGTGAAACAAAGATGTTTGCTGATATCCAAAAACAGAAAGAGTTTATCAGACCAACACTGCAAGAAATGTTAGAGGAAGTCCTTTAAGCAGAAGGAAAATGATACCAGATGGAAGTCAGATCTACACAAAGGAGTAAAACGTCTTCTGAAATGGTAATGACATAAAGAAATATGTACTTCTGTCATTACTTAAATCTCATTAAAAGGTAATAGGGATGGTTAATTTATGTGTTAATTTGACTGGGACACAAGGTGCCCAGGTGTTTGGTCAAACATTATTTTAGGTGTTGCTGTGACAGTAAGAGTGTTTTGGGATGAGATTAATATTTAAATCAGGAAACTTGGGCTTCCCTGGTGGCACAGTGGTTGAGAGTCTGCCTGCCGATGCAGGGGACACGGGTTCGTGCCCCGGTCCAGGAGGATCCCACATGCTGTGGAGCGGCTGGGCCCGTGAGCCATGGCCGCCGAGCCTGCGTGTCCGGAGCCTGTGCTCCGCAACGGGAGAGGCCACAACAGTGAGAGGCCTGCGTACCGCAAAAAAAAAACAAATAAAACAGGAAACTTGAGTAAAGCAGATTGCTCTCCATAATGCTGGTGGGCCTAATCTAATCAGCTGCAGTCCTGAATAGAACAAAAGGCTGACTTTTCACCCTGAACAAGAGGGAATTCTACAGCAGACTGCCTTAGGACTCCATCTGCGGCTTTGGTTCTTCCTGCCTTGTGGCCTTTGAACTGGGACATCAGATTTCCCTGGGTCGTAAGCCTTCTGTCACACACAGTGGATTTGGACTTGCCATAATCACATGAAACAATTCCTTATAATCTCTTTCTCTATACACGTACATCTTATTGGTTCTATTTCTCTGGAGAACCCTGACAAATACAGTAATTGACTGTTTAAACAGACAGAAAATAACATTGTAGAGTTTATAACATTTACAAGTAAAATGCACAACAATAATAGCATGAATATTGGGAGGGGAGAAATAGAAGTATACCATTATATAGTTCTTTTTTTTAAAGTATTTATTTATTTGGCTGCATCGGCTCTTAGTGCGGCATGCAGGATCTTTCATTGCGGCATGCAGGCTCTTCATTGAGGTGAGCAGGCTTCTCTCTAGTTGTGGTGCGTGGGCTCTAGAGCACGTGGGCTCAGTAGTTGCGGTGCGCGGGCTTAGTTGCCCTGTGGCATGTGGGATCTTAGTTCCCTGACCAGGGGTCGAACCCATGTTCCCTGCATTGGAAGGCGGATTCTTAACCACTGGACCACCAGGTAAGTCCCTATTATACAATTCTCATATGTGAAGTGGTATAATATCTCTTGAAGGTAGGCTGTTAAGTTAAAGGTGTATATTATAAACCTTACGGCAATCACTAAAATAAAAGAGTTGTAACTAATAAGTCAACAAAGGAGATGAAGTGGAATCATAAGAATACTTGGTTAATCAGAAAGAAGGCAAAAAAGAGGAAAAAAGAATAGGACAAATAGAAAACATAACAAGATGATAGACACAAACCTAATCATATTAATAATCATATTAAGTATAAATGGTCCTAATCAAAAGGGAGAGACTGGTTGGATTGGATAAAAAAAGCAAGACCCAACTATATGCTGCAAGAAACACACATTAAATATAAAGACCCATATATGTTAAAAGTAAAACCATGGAAAAAGCTATACCATGCTAACATTAGTCAAAAGAAACCTGGAATGGTTATATTAATATCAAGACGATTTCAGAGCAAGGAATATTACCAGAGATAAAGTCAAGTCCTAATGATTAAGGAGTCAGTTTATCAGGAGGACATAACAGTTCTAAACATTTATACACCTAATAACAGAGCTTCAAAATATATTAAGCAAAAATTAATAGAGCTGCAAGGAGAAACAGACAAATCCACAATTATAGCTGGAATTTTCAGTACCTTTTAAAAACAATTTTTAGAACAAGTAGGCAAAAAATCAGTAAGGATATAGTAGACTGAATAACACTATCAATTTGAATAGCAGTGTCAATCAACTTGACCACCCTGTTATTTATAGAACACTGCCCCAAACAAAAACAGAATACATATTCTTTTTGAGTGTACATGGAACATTTTCTTAGGTAGAACAGGGTGGGCCATAAGACATATCTCAGTATTCAAAAGGATTCAAGCCATACAAAGTGTGTTCTCTGACCCCAATGCATTTGAGTTAGAAATCAGTTAAAAAAAAATCCTTGGAAGTTCCCCAAATGTTAGGAAACTAAATGACACACTTCTCAATAACCCGTGAATTAAAGGTGAAATCAAAAGAGAAGTAGAAAGTGTTGATACTTTGAACTGAATGAAAAGGAAAACAGCATTTCAGAATTTGTGGCACTTACACCTGTAAGCGGCACTTACAGGGAAATGTATAGCACTCATCACCTATAATATAAAAGAAGAAAGTTCTTAAATCAGTGACATCAGTATCTACCTTAAGACACTAGAAAAAGAAATGCAAATAAAGCCCCCCAAAACAGAAGAATGGAAATAATAAAAATCAGAGCATAAATCATTGCAATAGAATACAGAAAACAAAAGAAATATTAGTGGAACCAAAAGCTTTTTTTGAGAATATCAATTTTATTGTATACTTTAAGCAGAATGACCAGATACATCACTAGTGTTAAGAATGAGAGAGGCATCATCACTACAAATTCTATAGATATTAAAAGGATAATAAGGGAATATTACAAGCAACTTTATGCTGATATATCAGACAACATAGATGAAATGGACAAAGTCCTTAGAAGACTCAAATGACTAAAGCTGACTCAAGAAAAAATAGATAACTAGAATAACCTTATTTCTATTAAAGAAATTCGTGTTAGAAACCTTTCCAAATGGCTTCACTGGTGATTTCACCAAACATTTAAAAAATATTTATTCTACGTAAACTCTTAACAAAAAATTGAAGAGACTATTCCCAGTTTGTTCTATGAGGCCTGCATTACCGTGATAGTAAAATCAGACAAAGACATTATAAGAGAAGAGAACTATAGATCAGTGTCCCTCATGAACATAGAAAAATTCTAAAGAAAATTTTAGCAAATTGAATTCAACAATGTATAATACATCACAACCAAATGGGGTTTATTGTAGAAAAGCAGGTTTGGTTTAACATTTGAAAGTCAATATAATTCATGACGTTAGCAAATTTAAAAAAGGAAAACTATTTGATCACCTAGTAGTTGCAGAAAAAGTCCTTGTCAAAATCTAACATTCAGGGCTTGAGGACACAGGGAGGGGGAAGCGTAAGCTGGGACGAAGTGAGGGAGTGGCATTGACATATATACTCTACCAAACGTAAAATAGCTAGCTAGTGGGAAGCAGCCGCATAGCACAGGGAGATCAGCTCAGTGCTTTGTGACCACCTAGAGGGGTGGGAGGGAGACGCTAGAGGGAGGGGATATGGGGATATATGTATATGTATAGCTGATTCACTTTGTTATACAGCAGCAACTAACACAACATTGTAAAGCAATTATACTCCAATGATGATGCGAAATTAAAATCTAACATTCATTTCTGATTAAAGAAACAAAACAAAACACAAACAACTCTCAGCAAACTAAAGAGACATGGAGAGTCTGGGAGGGAAGAGAAGTTGGAGGCAGGCCAGGGAGGAAGTTATAGACACAGTTCCAGTGAAAGATGCTGAAGGTCCGAGTGAAGACAATGGCGATGGGAAAGGAGCGGAAGAAAAGAGCCTGAGTGATATTTCAGAGGTAGAATTGATAGGACTTGGTGATTAATTAGCCACCGAGGGTCAGAGGGAAAGAAGAATCAAATAACCTTAAGATTTCCAAGTGTGAGTGTTTGGGTGGAGCTAATATTCTTAGACCTTAGAGAACAGAAAATAAGAAGTCTGCATGTGAGGGAGGATTAGTCTTAAGAGAGTGGAAGGGGACTTGGGATGCTCTGAATTTGGTTTTGAGTTACCTGCTGGGGGCTTGCAGAGATGCCTAGTGAACAGCTGGAATCAGTAAAGAGATACCTTGTTAAGGATGATAATCTGTGTGTTCCTGTACAAAGAACCAGCCAGTCGACAGCTTTGGTTCTGGTCCTGATTCAACAAGTCAGTATTTGTTACTGTTTCTCCAAATTTTATGCTGATGGTGAAGACTTGGGGCCATGAAATCATGGGCTCCCCATTTTCTAGATCATAGTCTTTGAAAGCCGAAGGGAATGAAGATTTCGGGTCACTAACACACACCGTGGCCTGTTGGGCCCAGCTGCGGGTCAGTGGAATGACAATGAGTCGTCTTATCCCTATAACAGTGTGTGATAGGAGGATGGCACCGAAGCTGGAACAGACGCGGCGTTTCTGGAGGAGGGTTGGTGGTGAGCTCTTGCATTATTGATCTCAGCTCTCATTCTCTCTGCAGTGGCTGTAAATCTAGCTGAGGACACTGCTTATCCCCAACTCGTCTTCTCCCAGGAAGGGAGATATGTGAAAAATGGAGCATCAGCCAGTTCTTGGCCACTGTTTACTACAGCGTGGAGCTACTTTACTGGATGGAGGAATCCTCAGAGGACCACAGACTTTGTGGAGAGATTTCAGCACTTACCCTGCGTTTTGGGAAAAAACGTTTTCACTTCAGGGAAACATTACTGGGAAGTTGAGCACCAGGGTAGCCTGGAGGTTGCTGTGGGGTTGTGTCGGGAGGACATCACGGGGATTACTGGTGGTTCAACAATGTCCCCCCGCATGGGAATCTGGGCTCTTTGTTGGAGTTCTGCTGGCTATTGGCCCCTGACAGGCATCTCTGTGAGGCCTACCAAGCTAGAGCCAGCTCTTCACCGGGTGGGAGTTTTCCTAGATCACAGGGCTGGGGAAATCTCATTCTACAGTGCTGTGGATGGAGAACACCTGTACACTTTTTCCTGTCCTTCCATCTCACGTCTCCGGCCGTTTTTTTGGTTGAGTCCATTAGCATCTTTAGTCATCCCACCAGCGACTGGCGGGAAATGAGGCTGTTCTTCTCCTGCCCAAGAATCTTTGCCTTGTGCCCCAGCCCAGGGACATACATCCCTTGGCCCTCATCTTTGACTTCATATATAAATCCATCCTGGGTGGTCCCCTCAATTCTGTCCATTCAGATTCCAACTTCACATTTTGTTCAGCCCCCCTGGACATCATGTGCATAGACAGATGTGGAAGACCCTGCTGGGTATCTTTCCAGTAGCCTCTTGGCCCAGTTTTTCTCCTCTTCTGGTTCTTCCTAGTTGAACTGTTCAGGATGTGCCCTCCACATGCTTCAGGGAGACACAGCCCATAGGAGGGACTTCTGGCCAGCGAGGTGGGGTGAGAAATTCTCCAAGGTGCCTCTGAGGAAAGTTTTTTAGCTTTTAGAAAGAGATGTTTGGAAAGACACAGCCCCTCTCCTGATGTTAGTAGGTATACTGGAACTGAGAGGAGCACAGTAACTGTGGGAAAAGGAGCAGAAATGTGGTCTTTGTTGGCATCATGAAATGGTCGGAATTTCCCTAATCCTGAATTTCTTGTTATATGAGATTATTGCTTCTTTATTGTATAAGGCAGTCTAGTTGCCTTCTGGTCACTTGCAGGCTGAAGTGTCCTAACCGGTGCCATAGGCACATAGCTTGGACATCTCACAGTATAGGCCTATCTCACTTTTCTTCCTGAAATTTGACAGCTTTATAGAATCCCTTTCTGTTTAGTCATGTAATTCCTCTTCTTTCCAGTAAGTACTGATATCCCTCACTTCTTGGATTGGAAAACTGAGGCAGTCTTCCCCTGCTCTGCCCATGTTGTTACTCTTCACCTGACCGTGTCTCTGCCCTCAAGGGTTCATTATGCTCTCCATTCGTCAGATTCGTATACTGTGTGCACAAGGTTATTAACGTCATCCTGAAAATGTTGGGAAACCCTTGTTAATTATTTACACTGTGCTAGCCTCTTCACATAATGCTCCCATGTGACTCTTGCAACAGAGATGGAAATGAGATGGAAGTTAAAATCCTGTCTTTACAAAAGAAAAAACAAACCTTGAGATTAATTTGCTCAGTCCTGCCCAGCTGTCAGATGGGCATGTTGGGATTGAATCTAGATCTGAGAGGAAAGTCCTGGTCTTTTCTGTTCTACGTTCACCTGTGAGCACTTATTGAATGCTGATTGTGGTCTCCAACACCTTTGTTTCAAGTTTTTATTTTGTTATATGTTTTTACCCTGTATGAGTGTTCTCTCTTTACCTTCCTGCTCTAGATTGTATGCACTCAGAGGATTGTGACTGTTACTGGAGAGTTATTTGATAAATAATGAATGTTTCTCTCTGGTTATAAAATCACATACTTATTATAGAAACTTTGGAACGTATAAAAAGTGTGAAGAAAATCAAAGTTATTGACAATCCCACCACCACTAACATTTTAATGTGTCTCCTCCCAGACTTGCAATAGGCTTTCTGGCAGCTTCTTACAAAACTTGCAGCACCCTCCCTAATCCCTCCTCCCCTTCCTGTGTCCCAGCCCATCCTGGCTTGTCTTCCTTTGCAGCTGGAGCAATCCCCCTCATTCAGTGATTTCTGCTGAGTTCTTAACTCTCCAAGATACTTGCTGTTATGAGTTGAATGAATTCTGCCCTCCAGAGAAAAAGATATGTTGAAGTCCTAGCTGTGAATGTGACCTTATCTGGAAATTAACATGAGGCCATTAGGGTGGGACCTAATCCAATATGACTAGTATCCTTAGAGGGAATTTTGTACACACACACATACACTTACATACACGGAAATGCCATATGAGGACACAGAGGGAAGATGGCTATGGGAGAGGCTGGAGTTATGCTGTCACAAGCCAATGAATGCCTGGGGCTGCTAGATGCTGGAAAGGGCAAAGAAGAATCCTCCCCTAGAAGCTTCTGAGGGGTCATGGCCCTGCAAACACCCTGATTTCAGATTTCTAGCCTCCAGAACTATGAGACAGTAAATTTCTGTTGTTTTAAGCCACCCAGTTTGTGGAACTTAGGAATTTAACACACTTGCCCATCAGGACTTCCTTCAGTACTGTGAAATAATATTCATATTTTATGGCAAGACAAGAAAAATTTAAACATAAAAAATTTTCTCTGCCCATTGGTCTCTGTCCCTGCACTGTGCATTGTGTGTCTGTCTGCATTATGCATCGACCAAACCTCCCCCATCAGCAGAAATACCTGCTCAACCATAAAGAGCAGCATTCTCCTAGCATCAACAAGACAGCTCCTTAAAAGATAACATTCCTTCTTGATAAGGGGTCACATGGTGCTTAGATCCGATGTAAACTGTCATTAATATGTCAGTTGATGTACAGCCCCCATCTCAAAAAACTTGTATAACTGTGCCTTGACTTCTAACCGGTGGAACGGTTCTCAGAGATTTCTCAGATGCTCTTCCTGGATTATAATCCTCAAATTTGGCTCGAATAAAATTTTCCATTTCCTTCTTAGATGGATTAGTTAGTTTTTTGTCGACAGTACCTACATTGTTAATTTCCAGTCCTTGGGAAACTCCTTAGTACCTTTCCTCCGCTCTTCTTTCTGGGCTGTTGAAACAGTTTGGTTGGTTCTGCTACAAAGACTCGTTCTCTGACTTCAAGTAGAGGCTCTTCGGGCTGCTTGGTAAACAGCTTGATCTTAGATTCCTTTTTACATCTTCTCATGGCAGTGATTCCGAACCTTTTCCTCTTTTCTCAAAGAAAAGGCCTTTATGAGCCTCCCTTTATACTACTATAATGGAGGTAAAACTCTGTTTATCTGAGGTTTGCAGCTGGGACTCTAACGAAAAGAAAGATTAACAAGAAAATGTTTAACAGGTGCAACACATCATGCAGGAGAAACATAAAATGAATACTAACTCAAAAGCCTTGGCTTAGAATTCTGGCTTTCATAGTATCTTCGACAAAGAACAATAAAATTGTGGAGAGATGATAGGACAAAGGTAAGCAGTTTTAGTCTTCCAAGGGTGGCAGACTGTGTGAGGGTAAATATATGTGTGGAAACAAATGGGTCAGTGTGTGTTTGCAGATTCTTCTGGCACTGCCTCTGGGCTGAGTCTATCTCCAGTAAAAGAAGAATTTATATCCTGCCTTTAGGATTTCTGGGTTTGCTGCCTCTTAATTGCCTTCAGCTCAAAATGATTTTTATGTCAAAGAGGCATATTTTGGGGTGACACATTCTGGTTTCCATCACTACTTATTATTGCAAAGAACTTGCATCTTTTACTGAGAAAAAATTTTTTCTCTTCCACCCATCTGATTAACAATTTATTGCCTCTTTTTTGGGGCTTGATATTGGACCGTCTCTCATCTCTTCAGGTATGGAATGGGACCCAGTTGTTGTATTGGTTAAAAATAAACTCTTCTGATGCTTCTGATGTACAAACAGGATTGAGAATAAATGTGTCCCAGTCAGTTTCCTATTTTACTTAGTTTCTCCGAGTCTTTATTAGTGTGTTATATGACTCTTTAGGAGGGGTATTTATTCACCATTTCTTAAGTTTATTTCACCACAGAAACTTTATCTTTTATTAAAGTATAGTTGATTTACAATGTGTTAGTTACTGCTCTCAGCAAAGTGATTCATGTATTTATGTATACATGCATGCACATACGTGTGTCTGTATATATATACATATATATAATATATATGTATATATATATATACATTCTCTCTTTTTTTAAAATATTCTTTTCCATTATGGTTTATCATAGGCTACTGAACACAGTTCTCTACCACAGAAACTTTAGCTCTGGGAGCAGCATTGAAGACTCCCCAGAAGATAGTTTGGCAACCACTGTTTAGCCTGCACTTTCTTGAGGTGATCTTGGCCACCTCAGATTTCAATCTAGCTTGCACCCCCTAGCCCCTAGAGCTGATGGGTACATGCAATGGTGCTATAAGCCACCCACACTGTGTGGCCCTGGATAAGGTTCTGCTAAAGTCTTTTCCCCTGGATTGGGACTTCCCTGGTGGTCTAGTGACTAAGACTCTGCTCCCAATGCAGGGGGCCTGGGTTTGATCCCTGGTCAGGGAACTAGACCTTTAAAAGAATGACATAGCCTCAGGACATGACATAAACTGATTAGAACCAAATAGGTCCAAGATGGTAGATGAGTCGACTTCCACTAGACTTTGAGCCTCATGGTAGCACATCAGCATGCTAAATGACACACCCACAGGTGCCATGACAGTTCCAAGGCTGACCATAAGGAACTGGGCGCTGGCCCAATTCCTGGAAATCCCCACCCCTTCCCCAAAATAGCTGGGCTGCCCCTCCCACTCATTAGCCTGTGAAATTACCCACCCCTATAAAAACTGACAACCCCATACCCTGGTGCTCTTGACTTCTGAGATGGCCCACACTCTGTCTGTGGAGTGTGTTTCTCTCTAAATAAATCCTTTTTTTTTTTTTTGGCGATACGCGGGCCTCTCACTGTTGTGGCCTCTCCCATTGCGGAGCACGGGCTCCGGACGCGCAGGCTCAGCGGCCATGGCTCACGGGCCCAGCCGCTCTGCGGCATGTGGGATCTTCCTGGACCGGGGCACGAACCTATGTCCCATGCAACGGCAGGCGGACTCTCAACCACTGCACCACCAGGGAAGCCCTAAATCCACTTCTTACCTATCACTTTGTCTCTCACTGAATTCTTTCTATGACAAGACATCAAGAAACTGAGCTTCATTAAGTCCTGAGACCAGGTGTGTGATCTCAGTTAAAAGACTGTGGGTTCAATTCCCAATCTGGGTTTTGGCTGGGTTCGAGTCCTGGCCTGTGGGTTCAAGTCCCAGTCTGACTTACACAGTTCACAACTAAAAGATCCTGCATGCCACAACTAAAGATCCTGCATACTGCAATGAAGATCCCACACGTGGCAACAAAGATGCCGCGTGCTGCAACTAAGACCCGGGGCAGCCAAGTAAATAAATAAATAAATACATAAATAAATGTTTTTTACAAAAAAGTCTTTTCCCCT